GGGGGGGGGGGCACAACCTCTCCTGAGCTTAGGAAAGGTGAGGCAGTGGAAAAGAGCCCACAGTGGACTTCAGTGGGAACATGTCCAGAGGTAAAGGAGGGAAGGGAAGAGGTCCTAGGGAAAGTTGGCGGACAGGGCGGCAGCGGTGGGAGGCAGGGGTAGCCCTGCTTGGCGGGGGTAGGAAGTAGTCATGGTGGTAGTGTTCGTGATGCAGACAGGGCATCCACGCAGGGGCTGGGCAGGCTTGCTGCCACTGGATCCAGGAGTACACGTGGCTGGCACGGAGCACCTACTCGGAGGGCAATCTCTTCGCATGGGTTACCACCTCTTCTCAGCAGGTGCTACAGTCGTCCATTGCCTTGGCGCTCTCCAAGAGCGACAGCTGGAGACAGTGCATTTATGTTATGGATGGCTTTGCAAGGCCTGATAATATCTTCCATAGCTTGATTTAATCACTCTATGGGCAGGTACGTGGGTCAGATGCAGAGTGGGAAAATGGGATCATGGTGGCTATGAGGGCCATGTACAGCAAGACCTTGATGGAGCCTATAAAGAGCTCTGCATAGAACATATATGGTCTTATTTTCTGGAGGCTCATGGAGTGCGGCACATACATGATGAAGACGAAGAGCACAACGGTCATCAGAATGGTGTTCTCAAAGCCAAACGCCGGCTGCATGGAGGCCGCACTGGTCAGGATGCTGTGATGGCGATGCATGAGAAGGAAGAAGTTCACAATACCCAGGAGGAGCATCAAGGAGCTGACACAGCCCATATTGTCCTCAGCCAGCGGGAACATCTGAGAAGCGAAGGAGAGGAAATGATTAAATGAATGGAGTCACCTTGAAAGACAGGGAAGGACAGGCAAGTCTTGCTGACAGCACACCGGTGTTGTTCCATCTCCATGGCCTTTTGCTGACCAAAGAACACTTTGCCCATCACGTTGCCCAAGAGGAAGGGCAAAGACCTGGATGGACAGAGCTGCCATGTTGGCGATGGACTTGGTCAAGTACCCTGCAGTGGGGATAAAATTGGTCTTTGAAGTCATAGGCATGAGTCACCGTAGCCCAGTCACTGCCAGTCTGAGTGTTATTTTTATTGTGGTATAGGACATTGCCCTGCTGGGAGTCCAAGAGGCTACTCATTCTCCAGCTCATTTATCCTTACCGCTAAATAGGATCGCATCTCAAGGACAGACCGCTTTGCTTATCCATTCATCTATTGAAAGCCATCCTGGTTGCTTCCGTTTTGTGATAATTAGGAATAAAGTGACCGCCAACCTCTGGGTGCAGGAGTTTGTGTTGACGGGCTTCACATGGGCAGACACCAGGAGCATGGTGGCTGGACACATGGTAATCTGGTGTTTCCCTCTTCTAAGCCTGTAGACTGTGTTCAAAGTGGCTGCACCATTTTGTATGTACAGTAAAAGTCAATGTGAGTTATTGTTCTACACCCTGCTGGCATTTGCAGGTGCTGTGGCTTTGGCCAACATAGGGTTTTAGAGCAAGTGGCTAGATGGAAAGCTCTGAGCACAGGCCCTGGTTTAGAGGCTTTGCTCAGTATCTTGCCGCTGCTGCAGCCATTTTAAATGTTTCTCTTCTCATTTCCATGCCTGTGCCTTCCTAGTTTGCCCATTTCAGTCCTTTTATTTGAGACCCAGCTCCTTAATCACTGGAAACTCTTTCCCTTCTTCTCTGACAGTCTCTGCCCCTGCACTTTTTGTCACCCCTAAGGAGATAAGGAGACTAAAGACATTTTATGATTAAGTATTGTGGTGGTTTGGAGGAGAGTGGCCGCCACAGGCTCCTGGGTTGGGAGGAACTTGGTCCTTGGTTGGTGGAACTGTTTTGGGAAGGATTAGGAGGCGCAGCTCTGTTGAAGTAGGTGTGGGTTTCTTGGAGGAGGTAGTCACTGGGGGGTGGGGGGTGGGTTTTGAGGTTTCAAAAGCTTATACCAAGTCAAGTGTTGCTCTCTCTCTGCCTCCAACTTGGAGATAAGATGCCAGTTCTCAGCTATTGCTCCAGTGCCCTCCTGCCTGCCTGCTGCCATGCTACCGCCATGGTAAGCATGGAGCCGCTCTGAAAGTGTAAGCAAGCCCCCAATTAATTGCTTTCTTTTATAAGTTGCCTTGATCATGGTGTCTTTTCACAGCGATAGAAAAGTAACTATGACAGTATCTTGAGTATTTTAATTGTTAGGGTTCTCCAGAGAAATGGGATGCATTGTGAGTATGTGTGTATGTGGGGAATCGAGGAGTGGGAGATGGAGGAAAGAAAGGAAAGGGCTTGCT